CTTTCGAAGAAATTCTCTGAATCTTGTTGACAAAAATGTCATACTTTTTCTCTGTCTCCCACTGAAATCCACTTATAAGTTCTTTAGTTCTTCTAAAGATTCAACCAAAATTCACATCCATGGATGCCAAATTTCTTCACTTTCTTTCTCTTATTGTCTTTCTCATCCATTTCTCAACTGCTTTCATTCCCCAAGATAATTACCTTATCAACTGCGGATCAAGCATAAACACTATTGTAGTCGATAACAGATACTTCACTGGAGATTCATCTGAGAATGGTTCCTCGTATCTATCTAAAGGTAAATCAATTTCTCTTACGAATCCAATCCCAGCATCGAATTCTTCTGTACTTTACAGTACAGCTAGAATTTTCACTTCTGTTTCAAGCTATAAATTTAATATCAAGAACGTTGGATTCCACTTGGTACGTCTTCATTTCTCTCCATTCAGTTCTCGGGATTATGATCTCAAGAATGCGAAATTCATAGTTTCAGCTAATGGAAAATCAGTTTTAAGCAACTTTTCTGCTCAGTTTACTATCCTTAAAGAGTTTATCTTGATGGTTAATAGAGATGAGCTTGAAATTCTTTTCACGCCTGCTAGTGATTCCAATTTTGCATATGTGAGTGCAATTGAAGTGTTTTCAGCACCAAAAGATTTCATTATTGACGAAGGGATAACATTGATTAGTCCTAACGAAATTCAAGACTTCAAGCAGAATATTTCGTCCAAAATTTTAGAAACTGTTCATAGGATTAATGTTGGAGGATCAAAATTAACCCCGTTTAATGATACCCTTGGGAGAAATTGGATTCCAGATGAAAATTTTCTTGTCTTGAAATCTGCTGCAAAAATTGCTAAGACTATTCATCCTCCTAATTACCAACCGGGAGGTGCCAGTAGAGAAATTGGCCCAGACAATGTATACATGACTGCACAACAGATGAATATAGATAAGCAAAGTTCAAATTTTATGTTCAATATAACATGGGATTTTCCTGTGAGATCGGAGGATTCTCTGCACTTTGTTCGTTTGCATTTCTGTGACATTGTTAGCATTTCACTTCAGACGCTGTACTTCAATGTATATATAAATGGGATCATTGCGTTCAAAGATCTTGATTTGTCTTTGCTTGCATTCCATGAGCTTGCATCGCCTATTTTCGTTGATTTTGTTGTACAAAGCTCGGATAAGTCAAACATTGTTCGGATTAGTGTGGGTCCTTCTGACCTCAGCAATAATTTAAGGAAGAATGCTATTTTAAATGGGGTTGAGATTATGAAAATAGTGAATCCTGTGGGTTCAGAAAAGACCGCTAAGACAAAAACCATTTGGATTTTGGTTGGTTCAGTTGGAGGTGGATCTTTCGTGTTAAGCTTAGCAATTCTTAGTACATTGTTAGTACTCAAATGCAGGAGAAAACCCGAACCAAGACGTGTTGAAAGCACAGGATGGACTCCTGTTCGTGTAAACGGAGGCAGCTCCCATGGCACGTTATGGGAAAGGCCAGTTCTCGGTTATGGTTTGAAGATTCCTTTTGCTGATATAGAATTGGCTACAAATAATTTTGACAAGAATCTGATAATTGGCTCAGCTGGTTTTGGCATAGTCTATAAAGGGATTCTCCAAGAGAACTTGCGAGTTGCTGTCAAACGACGTGTGCCTGGTAACAAACAGGGACTGCCCGAATTCCAAACTGAAATAACAGTTTTGTCAAGGATTCGCCATCATCACCTTGTTTCACTTGTGGGCTACTGTGAAGAACAATCCGAAATGATACTTGTTTACGAGTACATGGAGAAAGGGCCTTTAAGGAACCATTTGTATGGTTCTGGATTACGCCCTTTATCTTGGAAACAAAGGCTAGAAATAAGCATTGGTGCAGCTAGAGGTCTACACTACCTTCATACAGGTTCAGCACAAGGGATTATCCATCGNTTTTCAACCGCATAAGATTCACAATTTTTATTAACTTTACCCAAATCTATTGAAAATATGATTTTTAACCCAACCAAGCAGGGATAAGGAAGTTCGATTTTGCTAGTGGTACATCGAGATGTACCTAATGGTGTACACCTCACTCATATGAGCGAGGGACCCACTCGAATAAAATATTATTTCTTTCACATGGATCTCACACCCATATGAGTGGGGTCTACACAATTCGGTACACTCATTATGTACCACTAGACAAGTTCAAGGAAGTTTGTGCACTCACACTTTAAAGGCAAAATTGTTGATAATCATAAATGTCTTACTATCACCACCTAATTACTAAAGCAAATAAATAAATTTTCTCCCTCATAATTTAGAATAACGTAATTCGTATCATGATCATCATCGATCTATATGATAGTGTTCACTTTTAACTGAATAAAATTGATCAACTCGATAATTTAAGTGGGTCACATATGTCACTGTTTTATTGGAGGGCCCTCGTTGAAAGTGGACTTAGCTGGCTGTTTGGTGCACAAATCCACTAAACAAAATAATGGCCACCACTAACCTAGGAGACTATTTAGATTTTTAATTTTTTATTTCTGGAAATTGGTAAGCACAGGCACAAAAAGGTATTTATATACTTCACTTTTTTTATTTTTTTATTTTTTTTGTAAATAAAGTTAAAAGTTCATGCTTAGGTAAGAATGTGGAGTTTGTTGGCCTTCCCCTAATTCAGTAGTATATTGTTTGAATGGACAATTTTACATATATAATTTCTCCTTTTTAAATATAAAAAAAAGGTTGAACCCCAACTTTAAGGGCCCCCCACCGACCCTGTCCTAGACCATCGTGGAGGAGGTAAATCGCAGGATGTGCCTCCCAGGAGCCAGGGTGGAGAGCACATGGATAGACCAAGGCTGTTAACCCATATGGTAACTCCCGCTTGCAACAAAGTCAATTCCACCTTGCGGGGAATCGAACTCTGCACACTGCCGCGCTGAGCCCTATCCGCCCTCCCCTTTGCCACTGGGAGATATGCCCCGGGGGCATTTCTCCTTTTTAAATATACTTACATATAATGATGTTGAAGTGTAATTATTATTCTATAAATTTAAATTGATCGTGTAAATTCTCCTTTCTTATTTCATTAGATTTGTCGTTGCAGTTTCATTCACAATGTAACACAATTTTTGCCAAAGTTTTCACCAAATATTGCATCTTTCGACTCACTTGTTACGAAGATTAATGGAACTAAAGAGTCAGACCTACCATCCATTTAACCTATTCTAGAAGAATCAAGAAGGATGGAGAATTAACAGAAATGAAGGAATAACTACATTCTGGTATACGGGCAAGTGGAGTAGTTAAAAAAAATCGATTTATGTGTAAAATTATTTAAGGGAGAATGTATCATAGAAAATGAGTTTTGAAACAAATAATTTATTGGAAAAATGAAAACCAAACATTAGGCTAAAATATATGATAGACATAAAAAAAAGTTTTTTGCTTTATTAAAATTGAGCTCAACCCATAAAAATATCGTATTTGACTAAATTAGTATAATAGTACGCTAAATTTATTTTTAAATAATTATTTTTCAAATGTGTTTGATTAATGACTTCGTTACTTTTTGTTTACTTATGAATAAAAAAGTCGCTTATTTTTATCAAAAAATGCGACATACTGTAAAAGTCGAATTTAATAGTTCGAACCAATCATGAGGTAAGACCGACAATTAAACGTTGATACATCGTCATCCCCGTTTGGCCCCTATTTTGTGAAAATGAAAATAGGTGGAATAATGCTTTTTTGAAAAATGAGTGAATGAAAAAAAATGAAAAATTTTCAATTGTGTAATATTATTTTGTATAAAATTGTATGATTGAATATAGGGGAGAGAAGAATGAATGGAAATTAATGAGACAAACTGGGGCATGTTATTACATTTCTCCTATTTTATTCAAATTAAAGTCCCGGCAATTAATAATGCGAGCAAAGTTCATGAAGCAAAAGTGAATAATTACAAAATGAAATAATCAATTCTGAAAATTTGAGCAAATCGAGGCACCCAATCCCATTCTCACCTGTGTTCACAATCATTGTGTTTATTCCCCTGTTTTGAGTTTTTAGCAGTAGAATTTGCAGTGCTACAATCCTTGAGTTCATTTCAGTTTTGAATATTAATTTGAAATTCGCAAGAACTGGGAGTGTGAGGTTAGGGTTTTGATTTTGATTTCGCAGTGTGGAAATTGAGGATAATGGAGGTGATCCTCCATGTATATGATGTGACAAGTAGTGCTTCAGACAAGACGAACAATACAATTCTGCAGATCAACAAGATCTTCAAAGATGGTATAGGCCTTGGTGGCATCTTCCACAGCGCCGTTCAGGTCTTTCTATATATGCAATGTATATATACATATTTGTACGGTGCATTTATACGAGTTGTACTTGATGGATTTTGTATCTGCATATTTAGCCTGGTTATACTGTTAACTAGATCTAGTGTTGGTGCATGTCGATACAACTCATCCAAGAACGTTAATACCGGCTCGAAAGGAGACGGAATGGGGTTGATGGATGGGTGTTACTGCTGGAAATACGGAAGCATTTCAAATATGCTTGATTGTTTGCTTTCTCTGGTGCTTGAAATGAACAGTTGAATAATACGGTTACTCCATTTTGTATGCCTTTAACTTTTATGTCCGAGTGACATGCAGCAAATGTATTCCATGTCATGACTGTTTGATTTGTGTTCAAATAAGATTGTTATCAGTAGGACAATAACTATGGTGTTACCATTTTTATGAGCACGGGAAAGGAAGAGATCCATTGTGTATGTGTAATTCTTAAAAAAAAATTCAGTAAGTTTGCTTGTATGGTGTATAATTGTTGAAAACTGGTTCTTGTTATATTAAGATTTGTGTGTCTCTCCTTAAATTATTTATATAGTTGTGATGTTGAGTTAACTTTCCATAAGCTTTCTTTCTATTATTCTCCTTTCTTATTTCATTAGATTTGTCGTTGCAGTTTCATTCACAATGTAACACAATTTTTGCCAAAGTTTTCACCAAATATTGCATCTTTCGACTCACTTGTTACGAAGATTAATGGAACTAAAGAGTCAGACCTACCATCCATTTAACCTATTCTAGAAGAATCAAGAAGGATGGAGAATTAACAGAAATGAAGGAATAACTACATTCTGGTATACGGGCAAGTGGAGTAGTTAAAAAAAATCGATTTATGTGTAAAATTATTTAAGGGAGAATGTATCATAGAAAATGAGTTTTGAAACAAATAATTTATTGGAAAAATGAAAACCAAACATTAGGCTAAAATATATGATAGACATAAAAAAAAGTTTTTTGCTTTATTAAAATTGAGCTCAACCCATAAAAATATCGTATTTGACTAAATTAGTATAATAGTACGCTAAATTTATTTTTAAATAATTATTTTTCAAATGTGTTTGATTAATGACTTCGTTACTTTTTGTTTACTTATGAATAAAAAAGTCGCTTATTTTTATCAAAAAATGCGACATATTTTTTAAAATATTTATTTAAAAATTACTTATAAATAGAAAGCTCAAACAACTTTTAATAACTTATTTGGTAAAAAAAGAAATTAATATTTAATAATATTAGACATTGTTACTGTAAAGGTCGAATTTAATAGTTCGGACCAATCATGAGGTAAGACCGACAATTAAACGTTGATGCATCATCATTCCCGTTTGGCCCCTATTTTGTGAAAATAAAAATAGGTGGAGTAATGCTTTTTTGAAACAATGAGTGAATGAAAAAAAAGGAAAAATTTTCAATTGTGTAATATTATTTTGTATAAAATTGTATGATTGAATGTAGGAGAGAGAAGAATGAATGGAAATTAAAGAGACAAACTGGGGCATGTTATTACATTTCTCCTATTTTATTCAAATTAAAGTCCCGGCAATTAATAATGCGAGCAAAGTTCATGAAGCAAAAGTGAATAATTACAAAATGAAATAATCAATTCTGAAAATTTGAGCAAATCGAGGCACCCAATCCCAATCTCACCTGTGTTCACAATCATTGTGTTTATTCCCCTGTTTTGAGTTTTTAGCAGTAGAATTTGCAGTGCTACAATCCTTGAGTTCATTTCAGTTTTGAATATTAATTTGAAATTCGCAAGAACTGGGAGTGTGAGGTTAGGGTTTTGATTTTGATTTCGCAGTGTGGAAATTGAGGATAATGGAGGTGATCCTCCATGTATATGATGTGACAAGTAGTGCTTCAGACAAGACGAACAATACAATTATGCAGATCAACAAGATCTTCAAAGATGGTATAGGCCTTGGTGGCATCTTCCACAGCGCCGTTCAGGTCTTTCTTTATGCAATGTATATATACATATTTGTACCGTGCACTTATACGAGTTGTACTTGATGGATTTTGTATCTGCGTATTTAGCCTGGTTATACTGTTAACTAGATCTAGTGTTGGTGCACGTCGATACAACTCATCCAAGAACGTTAATACCGGCTCGAAAGGAGACGGAATGGGGTTGATGGAGGGGTGTTACTGCTGGAAATACGGAAGCATTTCAAATATGCTTGATTGTCTGCTCTCTGGTGCTTAAAATGAACAGTTGAATAATACGGTTACTCCATTTTGTATGCCTTTAACTTTTATGTCCGAGTGACCTGCAGCAAATGTATTCTATGTCATGACTGTTTGATTTGTGTTCAAATAAGATTGTATCAGTAGGACAATAACTATGGTGTTACCATTTGTATGAGCACGGGAAAGGAAGAGATCCATTGTGTTTGTGTAATTTTTAAAAAATTTCAGTAAGTTTGCTTGTATGGTGTATAATTGTTGAAAACTGGTTCTTGTCATATTAAGATTTGTGTGTCTCTCCTTAAATTATTTATATAGTTGTGATGTTGAGTTAACTTTCCATAAGCTTTCTTTCTATTATATCATTTCCTCAATTCTCGCAAACCAAGTTTTCAAGGATAGAAATTTACTATCATTTGAGTTATATCCAAAACCGTCTCTTTTGATTTGTTATCCAAATGTGCATGTGGCAAGAATCATTTCTTTAAAATTCATGGTACAGCTTATTTTTAGGATTTTGATGTGACATCAGTGCAGATTATTTAAAATTTAGAAGTGACCTCCTTCCATTGTATGTGATTTATTTTGACAAATGAAAAAGAAAATAATCATTTTCAATCTGATCTGGAACAGATAGATTTTACAATGTCCTTTATCTGAATGTTTTACTCTGCCAGCAGGTTTATGGGGAAGATGAGTGGTCATTTGGGTATTGTGAACAAGGTACTGGAGTCTTTAGCTGCCCAGCTGGAAAGAATCCAATGTATAGATACCGTGAAAGCATCAAACTTGGAATGACAGATTTTTCCATCTTCAAGGTTAATCAGATTCTGAGGGAACTTAGTAGAGAGTGGCCTGGACATTTGTATGATTTGTTATCAAAAAATTGTAATCATTTCTGTGATGAATTCTGTGACAGACTTGGCGTGCCAAAGCTTCCTGGTATTCTCTCTTTCTGTCTTTCAGCTCATTATCTCCCTGTCTCTCACTCACTGACATGCGCACATAGAGATACCATTTACTTGAGAATGGGTCGAGTGTGGAGGAGTTAAGAGTTAAAGTAAACATGTAATGTTAAACTCTCAAAAGATTGATTTGTCTAACATGGTACTGTTTCTAAAAGATGTGAGACTACACTTTATGCCTTCTTCATTTATGATTATTTGGAAGCAAAAAATCAACAAAAGTTTACCTTGTTTGGGGACGTAGTAATATAACTCTAAATTTGTTCTCCCTTGCAATGTGGGGATTGAGTGAGAGAGTTTTTGTTATTATCTTTTGGTATTTGGGATGAGCTTGCATGAGTTTGGAAGAATCCTATCTCCATTTATGCTCGTATTTAGTTCACAATCACATCTGGGACTACCCATGGGTGAAGAATACGAGCTCTTGTACACTTCAAAATGTGGATGTTGGTTGATGGGGAAAAAAAATGCAGGTGTGATTAATTTTGAGAAATGAAAAAGGGTGAATGATGATCCAGTCAGTCATAATAGTACGAGTAAAAAAGGTTAACTGTTCCTTAGCAATACAATTTGCTTGATAAGGTAGTTTTTCTTCATGGCATTTAAAATTTTAACAGTTCAAAGGCACAAAGCATTCATATTTTATCACCTGATAGAGTTGAGGTCCTCAATCTTAGCATGATGATTTCGAAATGTTGCAATATAATATGACATGCATGATTGACCAAATTACAATGCAAATGGATATCTTAAGATCTTTTGTTTGACCAGACGATGCAGTTGTTGCGTAAGTTAACAGTATAATGCTGATGATTTTGGTGTATGAGGTCTAGTGTAGTGATGAGTTACTTGCATGAATGAGAAAAGGAATTTTAAGGTTTCTGAAGTTGGTGGGGACTGTCACTCACTGCTATAAATGGTAAAGTTCAAAAGCATTTCTTTCGGTCTCTATCGGGGAAAATTGGTTGGACTTTAATAAATTGGATCTTGGTAATAAATCCAAGTTGGTTAAATGACTTAGCACCCAGTAAACTTACTAGAAATTAGAGAAAAATAACTATGTGACCAAAAATCTAGGATGTTTCCCAACATACTGTAGGCATAACACCACCAAAACATAATTGCTTGATGTCCATTAACTTGTGAAGAATTTGTGTCTATTTAGAAGGTCAAGAAATGTCCTACTCCTACAAGGACTCGGCCTTCACTTATAGAAAAATAAGATAAGACTAATTACACGAACTTATAGCTAATAATATGACTTGAAAACATAGCAAGACTCATAGAAGGACTTTCTATATCATATTGCATAAACTATCTTAAATTTGGGAATTCCTAAAATGCCCTTCGAACTTGAAATTAAACTATAAAGTGATTTAACCAGGCCTGGGGATGGGGTTGCAAGCTCCAAAAGGTCCCAAATTAGAACTTGTTCCTTTGAAGATCATTGCCTCATCTGTTGTAGACTTTAGAAATCTGCTGTTATCGTACCCACAGCCAAAAGCTTTCTGAGTTCGCACTATATTAAAATATTCCTTTGTCCACTAGCATTTCAAAGCAACTTAGATATACTTCTAGTGAGCACTCTCAGGGGGATGACTCTCATTGTAACTAGCTTTATCTCAGCGACACAGCCAACCATTCCCTTTTTTCTCCTTTTCTCTTCCACCCAGGCATGGTGGTTGGGTTTTCCTGGATCCCCTGTTTATTGGGTTTGTCTTTCCTCACAAAATATGTCTTGATAATACGACTCGTGCTATGTAGCATTAAAAATAGTAATAAATATAAAATTTAGAACAGTACTCGACCATTAGCAGGATCTCACATGTTCATGGTTGTAACTATGTGTCAATTATGATATTTTCTACAGAAAACGACCCTCAGTTTATGAGAGGCGAATAAGACAAAATTGCTTTGAGCATTTTTTTTTTTTTTTTTTTTTTTTTTGGGTATTTTCTTCAATAACACTTAGGCCATGGGATGTCCAGTAGTGATTTATATACCCACTTGTTTCGAACAAAATATAAGTGGAATCCTTTGTATATGCACCTAATAAATGAGTTTATATCTTGTCTATCCATCTAGATAAAAGAATGTATTACCAAATCTTAAGGAAAAAAATGTCACTTTTTCACCTGCAATATGCGAATGTTTTGTCATTTGCTTGGAGCGGGACAGATGTTATAGAGCAAATTAGTTGTTGGTGTATGATTGTAAAGTGACAAGTTGATGCATATGTGGTTGAAATCGCAAATTAGAGTCTATACTTGCATACATTGTGTTTCATTTTTCCAATTTGAATGATCATGACTTGGAAGCTATTTTGTTTTCCTGTTACCTACTGAAAGTTGTTCCAAAGACCATGTACTTGACACTTGCCGTTACAGGTTGGGTAAACAGGTTTGCAAATGCTGGTGATACTGCGGCTGAAATAGCAGGAAACACAGCTTATCGGGTAAGATTCTCTATTATTCCAATAAATCTACATTTGGAGAGCCGAACTCGCTTTCTAATTGTATATTATCGTGATTGCATCTAATGAAATTGCAAGTTGCAATGCTCTATTGAATATTTTAACAATTGACATAAAATAAAAAATCAAAAATTGTTAATCGAAAAAAGAGGGAAAAACAATATATGATGGTAGAAGCAAAAAATAAATAGTTTGTTGGAGTATATTTTTATATACTCTTTAAATATAAAGATGTTTTATGACCAACATGCTCTTTAAAAATAAAGAATCTCTTTGATGTACTCTAGTGTGATAAAAAATTTCACTCCATAACTAAAGTGCTCTCTCCTAGACGTAGTCTCTTGAAGATGATTTTGTCTTTGTTGATAGAATCTACTCGTGGAAGATCTTTTTTTTGCAGCCTTAGAACCCCCCCCCCCAACCCCCCACCACCACAGAGCTTTTTATACATTTTTTGTCTGATTGATTTTGGGTTTTGTTGCAGTTGAGACAAGCTAAAACTGAAATTGTAGCGGCTAGCAAAATTGCCTACCGATTCCTTGCTGGAGTTGCTTCCAACAACTCAATTGCAACTCCGGGTTCCCCTGTTAACTCCCCTAGAGGAAGTCCCAGATTCCAAGCTACTTGGTTCAAGAACCTTATTTCTTCTGGTTCTAAACCATCTACTAGTTTAGAACTGGAAAATCGGGAAGAAGAGCTGATGAGGGAGCGTAAGCATGAAGGAGCAGAAACTCCTATAATCCAGTGTTCACGATATGCAATCTGATACCATATCATCACCAACAACGTCATTCTCCGTGCTGGCAGGGCGCACACAATCTTTGGCAAGTTATTTTGTTGTGGAACTTCTGGACTGGTGTAAAATGTTAGTTTCCTGTTTTTGAATTTGTACACTAAAGTTCAGGTGCAAAAGTCAACATTTCGAAATAGCGATGAATCTAACAGTAATTCTTCATCATTGACATGCCATCGTCAATATTATCAGGGTTTTTTGTTCATTTTTAATCAAATCAGTCCGTTTTACTCCCTCCTTACTATTCTGTTTTGTGTCTTCCTTTTTGTCAAACCGGGAGAAGAATATTATTGCTGTCCCAGCTTTGCAATAAATATAGCAATTCATGAAGTGCTGAAGAAACTAAACAGTTTTTAAGTCAAAAACAAAGACAATATGTGTACAATAAATGAACCAGAAAGATATATTGGTTTGCAAACAACCTTTTGCACTGCATCGAGCCTAACCATACCGTAATCTTACTTTTGCAGTCTTATTGAGTTATTGTAGCTACCACAAGTCGAGATTTAGGACTTAATTCCCAATAACAGAACAGCCAAAGCTTCCCACTGCCCACTCCCCTCCCTAAAATAAGAGTTAATCCAATACATTACTAGTCATTACCAGGGGAAATCATTTTGACCTTTTAAACATGGCAATACACTGCAAATTATTACAAGAGGAGAAGATAAGAGAGGCAGAACATAAAAAAGCACATTACAAGATCATCATATGAAGAACTCGATAAAATTCATCCAACGATTATTCAAGAAACAAAGACCAGAAAACTCGCAAACGATATTTGATTAGCATTTGCCAATCCTGTATTTGTTAGTGGAAAGCGGAAAGCAAACTTATGTTGCATTGATCACGTTCTGATATTCATGTAATGAATACAAATGAAACAACACCGAATTGATACATCAAAATTGTAAAAGCCGGAATTTCAAGCAATAAGAAACAACCAGTAAGAAGTAGAAAGATCGGACTGTGAACAGATGTCTCGTAAGAATTCAAGCATGACATCGAACAAAGTGAAATACATATATAGCGAAGAAAAACTGGTATAACATGGCAACTTGATTGGCCAATAAATGTAAACCATTTACTTTTTAGGCATTTAACATACGGTTGGATGCGTGTCTATTTGTGAATCATCAGCAATTCGAAGTGATGAAACAGCCTGTGCTGCAAGGAGACCAGGAGATAAACCTGCTGCATCCCAACCTTCCTCTTCAAAATATTGCCTATGGAAATCTCTTCTCCAAGGATCAGATGAGACGATCCAGTCAGAATTCCCTTGGCGACTACACATGTAACCACATCTGTGAGAATCAGAAAACCAACCTATCCCTTCAAGCGAATATTGTGTCAATTTGTGATCGGGAACTAGTCCCCACCTCCCCCCCATAATGAGATCAAAATTGCTGCCATGATCCCACGGGGTAAAACCCTCTTCCTTCAGCATGATCTGACATGGATCGCCCGAATCTTCACCAAGTAGGACATGCAGTGCAACAGCCTCAGCTATTGCAGCACCTTCTTCATCAAGCCTCTGCTGTTCTTCTATCTTTTTCAGCTTCTTTTTCTCAAGTTCAGAACGAATGGCTGCAGAAGTGGCCAGGGCTTTCTCCAAGCGTCTCTTTTTCTTCTCAGCTTGTTTAATACGATCTAGCTCATCCTTCACCGGCTTCTTTTTGGCTTTTCTAATACCTGTCTGTACTTTTGCACACTCCATAGTATCCTGTATTTAAATTCTTTTCTTGATTTTCTTTCTTCTTTCTTTCAAAGAAAATTTCCCTAAGACATGTACATTTTCAGTCTACCTATAAGTTTCCTTTTTCTTGCAAAATTTGCTATTTAATTTCTATTAATCTACTAAATTCCCAACTTGGAAACTAAGATAATGTTTATAGTTATGACAACAGTACCTACACCCACTCGGGTCTGAAGGAATATCTCATTTTACGCTCAATACATTCCCAAAAAGAAATGACAGGAGAAAGGAGAAGAGAAAAGTGGTATGCACTCCTTGATCTATTCCTTGCCATTCTTCCCAAATCCCCATCACCCTTGCAACCCATATCAAAGACACTACTATAAAGAATTAGCTAATTGGAATTAACAAAGCAAATTGTCCGTCCTTTATGGTTCAAACAACTCCCATGCCATTCCCTCCTGAAAAACAGATTATTACAATTAGTGCATGTTTAGTAAGGATGACTGGACAGTAATTACTACCTAATAGTACTAAAAAGAACGGAAAAAATCAAAAGTTGTAATCTGTTTATTATACATAGCAATCTTATCGAGCACTATCTACCAAACATGTAATTATATGCATATGCTAAGAGCTAAGACAGCGTAGCATTGATGAAACATACATTCCCACTAAACCATGGACAGTATTGCGTTGGAAGAACCATAACACAAGATAACATATTTTATTACCACATTTATCGCAGTCACAATTATACCATCATGAATAAAAAAACTCTCACTAATTACCAAAATTTATATTAAGATATTTTCTTTGTTTTTTAGGGGGAAAAACCCTAATAACACAGCAAATGAATCACTACAAACGAAATAATTCCTTAAACCACCCTGCAGTAACCCAAATAAGCATTTCTTCATAAAATTCTTCAAATTTCAATAATGAGAAGGATTCCTAACCCTAGCACCTGTGTAACTCCTCAAACTCCATGATTTTTTTTCGTGAAAAGGCCTAGATTCTGATTAGAAACCCATACTATTTAAGTTCATAGACCATTGGTTCAGTAAAAATGGTGATGTACGATAGCTGACAGTTTCACTTAATTCAGTACTATCAAATTAACCTTCCTAGAATATTGAATTTAACCCTGAAATTTAGATCCAAAAAACTGAACAGTTATAATATCCAGAAAATCAAACCCAAAAAATATTTGCTTAGGTTCAGTTATCGAACCTATAAATACAAACCAAACCTAATCAAATTCATAATTCATATCCCAACAATATGTAACACACTTAATTAACAGAATTCACCGATACTATATATTATTTATCATCAGATCAAAATTCATACAATCCATGTCACTAAAAACAACCAAAAACAATTAAGCAAAACTGTACCCGTTAAATTCAAGAAGAGAGAGGGAGGCCCTTTGACAACCTTCAATCTTGTAAAAAGAAAAAAGTAGAATTATGGGTATGATGTTAAGATTCTTTTGGATGCACGAAAATTCACTCAATTCTTGTTTGTCTTGGCGTCTGCATCTCTCTCCGTTTGCGTGTTCTTTGCGTGAGATAGAGCAGGAGAATGAGGGATATTTCTACAGAAGTCACCCAACTTACAAGTTTGTTTATATTAGTCATATATCATTAATTATATTTTTAGTTTAATCACTTAACTTCTATTTTTATTTAAAATAAAGTAGTAAAAAGTGCGATTGTTGAGAATATTTTAAATTCGCCTCTAGAAAATTCACGACACGATGGGGAATACTCTATCTCGTTTTCATTCATAATTGTAACATGCTGACAGAATCTGACCAACTTATATTTCATTAATTTAGCTAACAAAATCGTAATGCCATATCTTACATTTTTTAGTTTGAAAAAAAAATGAAAATTCCATATAAATACATAATTAAGTATATAGTGTGGAGCTTGGGGAACTAAATTTATTTGAATTGGGCCTATATATAAGAAATAATGGCTGAAGCCCCTTGTACAGAATTCGTAGAATTTTGCTAGAGAACTCACATGAGTGGCCCCCATGTGGTGATAAAAAAATTCACTCTTCCATCCTTGCTGTTAGACTCCGTCCTGTACAAAGGCCAATGAGGCCATTGCCTTAGGCCCAAAACTGAAGGGGCCTCATTTGGCCCAATTAATTTAATTTAATTTATTATTTATTTATTTTTTTGGTTGTGAAATGATGTAAAAGGAACATCGGTATTTTTATTTTTATTTTTTTGTCTTTTGAACTGGGCTTTTTCTCTTCTTCCTTCTCTTTTGTGCCCGTCTTCTTGTCTTCTTTATTCTTCGCCAAAATCAGCAGGCAGTGGCTAACAAGATCAAATTTTTTTGAGGGCCAAATTTAGAAACTTTACCTTGGGCCCTAACAATCACAGGACCGACCCTACTTGCTGTGAGAGTTTTGGAGCACTTCTGTCAAAAAATTTCTATTGATCTAACTTGATTCAAAAGTAATTCATTTATATTTTATCTTATCAAATAAATTATTTTCTCGGAGGTAGAGCCTAGAAATTTGCCCCTAGTACAATAAATGATTGCATTAGTCATATCACAAATTTGAAATTTCATCATGAAATTATGAATTCTGCCAATTTATGTAATAGATATAGACGAAAATAATGGAATAGTTAATTTGAAAAAGAAAAAAAAATGTAATTTGTAATTACAAACAGGAAGTGAAAATAGTGAACGGTTAAATCAAAGTTGAGTGACCAACAAAAGAAAGACCTTAAGTTTGGGTGACCTTAAATGCTATTTCCCTGAGAATGAAGGGCAAAGTCGGGAATCCAAGAGACGTGGCGATTAATGGATTGGATCTAGAATTTCTCACTTTTCTATGGCTGTGGGGGCCAACCCACACCGTCTTCCTACTGGTGCCATTTGGAATTTGAAGATCAACGAATATGATTTTTGATTGACAGTTTTGGGTCTGCTTGAAAGTAATATTAAGCGTTTGTGCATGTTTGGTAGTTCTTTTCTCTTTAAAAAATTAATTTTTTTTATCATTATTTTAATATTTCAATCGTTATTTTTGACTTTTTCTATTACAAATAGGATCCACTTTTTCTCTAACGGTTAACAAATTAATTTTCAAAATTACTACCGAACAAGCTTTTAGCCCCAGTTTGGCCCCATTAAATTTCGTTTCTCTCTCTCCTATTTTCAACCACACAAATTTTCATAAAATAAAATTACGCGTAAATCGAAATTTTTTTTTCAACCACTCATTTTTCAAAAAAATACTATTCCATCCATTTTAATTTTCAGAAAATGGGAGTCAAATGGGGGCTTAATTTGTTTGATCCATTTTTTTTTTACAAGGTGTCCAATTCTTGACTAATTCTTGGGTCTGTGATCCGGCCCCTCTTCACACAGTCCAGTTAATCACGGGATGTGCCTCCAACTAGCCAGGTCCGAGCCCTCCCCACCTGATCTGCCAAAGTACCAAGCAAACCAATCCAAGTTGGCTTTAAATGGCTGTGTAGATGGTCAGCAGTGACAATGAGAACAAGGAAAATGATTTTTGTACATAATGATGAAATATCATAATGTAAGTGATGAAGTTATTATATTAATGAAATTTTGATCCAATTAAATCTCGTCATATTATCTTTTAATAAATTATTATCTAAATTGTTATGTGCGTGGAAGGCAACCTTGAGAACAATTAGTCAGCTTGATGATGTCATGGTCTCGTCATGGACTAATAAGCAAAGTCTTAGGGACTTAGGGGTGCAAATAATATTTTAGATGTAATTTGGGGGCTCTTTCAACCCAATCGATTAAAAAACCATCCTGTCACTTTGATTAAGAAATAAAATAATTTCTTCCTTTCTTTTTATTATCCCTACCATCTTAAAAGAGGCAATCCCCCATTTGTTATTCATTTATGAAACATTTTCTTTTCCCATTTCATCCTCAAACAAACAACAAATTCCTACTATATCTAAAGAGGCAATTCCCCATTTATTATTCATTTATGAAGCATTATAACAAAAAGAATAACATGGACGTTTTCCTATCCACAATTGTTGACTCATATTATTATTTCCTTGCTATAATAAAAGAGTGAATGTGGCGAACACTGTTCATTCAGAATGTATTTTGTGTTTTCTTATTTTATCCTTGAATATCATATAATATCTCACTTCACTCCTGAAATCACTACTAATGGTCTTTATACACGTGAGTGGTGCTACTATTTTGCCTGATTTGAATTTTCACATAAAAAAAATAGTTGACATCACACTACATAATATTTTTTTTTCTTAATATAATAGAAGAGTGAATGTGGCGAGTACTATTCATTCAGAACGTATTTTGTGTTTCCCTATTTTACCCTTGAATATCCCATAAGATTCCACTTCACTCTTGAAATCATCACTAATAGTCTTTCTACGCGTGTGTGATGCTGCTGTTTTGCTTGGTTTGAATTTTTACGTCAAAAAAAATAGTTGACATTATACCGCATAGTATTTTTTTTAAGAAAATAATGTAAATTATATTGAGAAAATTGTCGTGAAAAAATAATAAATATTAATAAAATAATTAGTTTTAAAAAAAAAAGAGTTATACCCATTTTTAATTTTTTAACACACATGTTTGATGTACATTTAATTATTTTCAATATTCATTTAGATCATTCGATGTATTTATGACATAGTTATTGAAATGAGTTTCGAGATAATATAAAACATTTATGCATTGGACTACCATACAATCGTCGATGAATTTATAAAGCTGGCTTGTTATCGAAATTCTTAATTTTTTTAAATGATGTTTCTTTTGACATTAAAAAAATTTAAATATTTATTAGGAAATTTTCTAAATGACGTCAAAAATTATTTTAGCAAAAAAATAATAAACATTAATAAAATAATTATTTTTTTAACAAAAAAGACGAGCTATACGCATTTTTTAACACACACGCCCGTTTAACTATTTTCGATATTCATTTAGATCATTCGATATATTTATAATATACTTCTCGAAATGAGTTTCGAGAGAATATAGAAGATTTATAGTAATTTTTATATAAAAAAACTAAATAAATTATCTAGTGAAAAAAAAATGAAAAAAATTGACACAAAAAGCAACTCTGTGCACCACAGAGCATTTGCTTTGTGATACACGAAGCATTGTTCCGTAATAATTTTTTTTTCCTTTTCATCCTTGGTGATTGATATTTTTTTTTATACAAATCTATCTTAACACATTATTGAAAAATTTAATACTCAGTTGAAAAGATGACGATTAATTTATTTGACGATATTGAATATTTTAGATGTATATAAATTTTGGACGATTAAATTCAAATATATCAAAATTGGGTGATTACATAAAATTCTCAACCCCATTTAAATGATAAAATATTATACTATGGCTCAACTTGTGTTTGGCTCCATTATTTTTTTCTTCATTTTTCTCTCTTTTATTTTCAATAGCAGTATCTTCCATAAAATAACATTATACGTAAATAAAAAAAATCATTAAATTGATTGGATATTAAACAATAAAAAATGATTCGATTTATTACACTATTTAATTATATTGAATATAGTTATCATCAAATACGTCATTTATATGTAAAATAACCACTCAAACTAAAATAATGTTTGATATATAAATTATGAGCTCCAATAAATTGGGTTTTTAATCCATGTATCAAGGGAAAAAAATTATATATAGAAGAAATTTGATCATTTTTAGGAATTTTTTTCTTATTGTTACTTTTTCCTCTTGATTAATTAATTTTTAAAATAATCTAATAAAATTTTTGACGTCATTTAAAAAAATTTATAATAAACTTTTAATTTTTTTATGTAAAAAATGTGTCATATATGAATATTACATTTCCATTTATCATTTTAAACAATTAATCAAATTTGTAGATTTATTAAGAGAACTGAATAAATATTTTGATACTTTAATAATTTAATATTACCTAAAAAATGACATAGCCCGTGCTCGAGTTTGGGAAAGTTGTTTAGATTGGACATTGCATGGGTGAAAAACTAGTCTTACTAAAAAAATTGGCAACACAATTATATTGGGTACTTATGTTACCTAGAATTTAAAATCATGCATTATGAATCTTCTCACTGAAATTCCTTCAAATTTCAATCCAACCATCTCGTCTATAAATATTATTGAGATTACCAAGTTTATAACCTGGCTAATGGAATTTTTTATTGAATTTCAATTCCTACGAATTTTATTTTCAACCATTGCTTCGAATTTCGTTTCACACTGGCATCTACCTCCTTAGCACCCTTTGTTGACTACATGCACAGTAGCGGCACTGTGTGACGGCAAGCACAATATCGTTGCCTAGTGTCGGACGAAAGAAGCTGTGAAACGCGACGTCGCTGCACACTACTTCATTGATTGTCGTTGTGCACGAAGCAACGAAGATGGTGTGCATTGCTGTTGCTTCATGTGCAGCAGGGTCGTGCTTCGTGTAGCGTTGATTGGTGTGCTTCCTTTGTTTTCTCTTCATCCGTTTTGTGTGAGGTTGATGGTTGTGGTGTGGTAAAAGTGAAGAAGATGGTAAATTTGAGG